CGCCGGAAGCACCTCCGCCTCATCTTCGCCGGAAGCACCTCCGCCTCATCTTTGCGCCGCTGTCGATCCTCCGCCGTCTCCTCCTCCGCATCCATCGATTCCTCCGCAGCGTTGGCCTTCGCCAATTCATAGGTTCGGGTCGTGTTGCTCCTCCGCCTCCACCGCCTCCTGCTCAAGTCGGCCCTTTATCCTCTGTAATTATCTACTCTCAACAAAACCCTAAACCTAATTAATTTGTGTTCGTTAGAGATCCTACCCTCATATTAGATATTATTATGTTAACTTACATCATTGAGATATATAGAATGCTAATTTATATTGTTGCTGCTGTTGTGTGGTGTATATGCCTTCGGCTACACCAGTATATCATCGATACCTAGAGTTCTTTGAAATTTACCATAATCACATATCAACCAACTACAAGTCATGCAGAAAAATCCCAGCAAAGACCTCCAAGTCTGAGATGGTAAGCAGGGACATGGTGCTTGCAGTTTGCTTAACATGTATTTGTATGGTATGTACCACTTTGTTTTTCTGTTCTTTTGGAGTTTGGTGATGGTGATGATGTATCCGTAAAAGAATGTAACACTCCATGTGCTTCCTCTTCTTCTACTTTCCTTTTAGTTTAATCCAACTTTCTTTCCACCTACCATGGATTTATTCTTGACGTGTTTATTTTTGTGTCAGTGATATGGTAGCTAATAATTAATCTGTTAGGCTTGATAGGCCAATGCTTTGTTGGTGTAACTAGCTATTCCTCCAGTGAGATATGTCACATGGAGAATGATTTGGCAATAGCATATTTATATCAGATAATTGGATATGTTAGAATGATTAGTTTTAACCTATCAAACTGAAAAGTGCTTGATATATTAGAATGATTAGTTTTAACCATGAGTTTGTTGGAGTACTTGCATTTTTCATGTCTTTTTGTGTGAGAGTTTTCTTGTTCTGTTGTCTCTGCGATAATTCTATAAAATTGTTGACTTCTACTTAGTCCATCACATTTATCATGTCACTATTATAAAATCTTTATTGTTTTCTGGCATATACTATTGTACACTAGTCTGATGATATTTTGAAACATTTGATCTGTCTTCACCGTATTCACCTTATCTTCAGTACATGTCTTGTCAAATACATTTTACTTCCCTGGGAGGTTTCATTAACCTCAAAAGTGACCTTCCTCACTGATCTTTGTTGCGAATGATACACCCAAATTCAGCGCCTGCTTCTATGCAAATATTTTCTGTATGATTTCGTCGTTCTTCATGCCAGGAATGCTTATTTCAAATTTATGCAAACTATTACTCCATGAAAGTAATGTTTCTTTTGCTTAGCCATACAAAATTTAGGAATGTTCTAACTCCTTGCTCTCCAACATTTATCAAAAAAAAGGAATGTTTCTTTTGCTTAGCGGTACAAAATTTAGGAATGTTATAACATTGATATTAATGGTATATGTCAAAAAACACTCGTGAATTACTTAATTTCTCATTTTTAGGGAAGTTTCTTGAATATGTGAAGCTCGGTTGAGAAAGCACTTAGCAAAGAGTGAGTTCTACTGAATGGGGTGTTTGTGTCTGCGTGCAAAAGAGTCTTTAGTTCAAGAGAGACTATTAAAGGAGAATGCAATGCCTTTATCTGGATTGGTTTAGAGTTATAAGAGTCTTTAGTTTATCTTACATTTTAATTGTAACCCTATATTCAAAGCAAAGTAATGATCAAGCTTAGCTTATTCCTAAATCCATGTTTTTATAAGTCGTTACTAATAAATTATTTTATTTAGGTTATCATGGCCCGTAACTACATCAGAGATAAAGATTGGATGTACGTGGGTCGTGCAGAACGCATGCAATCTATTTTCGTTAATGGAGTTGGTGCTTTCATGGACTTTGTACGTAGACACGATATGGTCCGCCATGGGAGACTCATTTGTCCATGTAAATTATGCGCGAATAGGTTGCATCAATTGGAGGAAGAAGTAGAACTTCACATTGTGAAGAATGGTTTTGTTAGCGATTACAAAACTTGGGTATATCATGGACAAATTGAAGGTCTCAGTGATGCAGATGAAGAAGAACAAGAAGATGACAACTTATTTCTTGATGAAGAAATGGAGGAAATGGTTGAGGTAGCTCTTGGTAACACTAGCCCTGCTGAAGATCCTCCTTTCGGAGGGCATCGTGAAGACAATTATGATAAGTACATGAATGATGCTAAGAGGCCCATTTATGAGAATGCAAAACACTCCACGCTGTCATGGTTTGTCCATCTATTCCAAATTAAATGTCTAAATAAATGGAGCAACAAGTCATTTACAATGCTCCTCAAGTTTCTTAAAGATTCTATGCCTCCGGGGAACCATGTGCCTGATAACTGGTACGAAGCTCAAAAGATAATGTCTAATCTGGGTCTAAAGTGTGAGATGATACACGCATGTCCTAATGATTGTATAATTTATTGGAAAGAAAATTCAGATAATACGGAGTGTCCTACTTGCGGAGAGGCTAGATATAAGAAGAAAGTACATGGTCAAAAGAAGGATATACCTATCAAGTTAGTACGATACTTTCCCATTACACAGAGGCTGCAGAGGCTATTCAAGTGTAAGAAGACAGCGGTGGCGATGACTTGGCATCACCGTGCACGTCCAAGTGAAAATGGACGAATGAGTCATCCTAGAGATACGCCTGCATGGAAGGATTTTGACAGTAGGCACCCAACATTTAGTCAGGAACCTCGTAATATCAGGCTGGGATTGGCTAGTGATGGCTTTTGCCCCTTCAGCTTTAAGGGCAATCCCCACAGCACATGGCCCGTTGTGATGATGATTTATAACCTCTCACCGTGGTTGGCTATGGACCAATCATATTTCATGATGCCTCTTCTTATTGATGGTCCAAAGTCACCGGGAAACAATATTGATGTCTATCTTCGACCTCTTATCGAAGAGTTAAAGTCTTTATTCATTGATGGTGTGGATACATACGATGCAGACACGGGGACAAACTTCACCATGCGTGTAGCCTTAATGTGGACAATCAATGATTTTCCCGCGTATGGAATGCTATCTGGTTGGTCTGTACATGGTTATACTGCATGTCCTTACTGTCATCTCCAGACAACATCGAAAAGACTACCCTTTAGCAAAAAGACTTGTTATTGCGGCCATCGGCGCATGTTGGATGAAAATCATCCGTACAGAGATGATATCATCCACTTTGATGGTACTAAAGAGAATCGCCCGCGTCCAGACCCATTATCCGGAGAGGATATACTTGCTCAGTGGAATGGTAAAAACAATGTGACTTTTGGAAAAATAAAGGGAAGGCAAGAAACACCACAGGGATGGAACAAGAAAAGTATCTTCTTCGAACTACCCTACTGGAAGACAAATAAAGTGCGGCACAATCTAGACGTCATGCACATTGAGAAGGGAGTATCTGAGCACATACTTAACTTACTTCTCTGTAAAGATGGAAAATCAAAAGATAACCTTAAAGCTCGAAGGGATCTGCAGGCGTGGAACATTAGAAAAGAGTTGCATCCTATACCGAAGGCAGGCAATCCTGACCAATTTGTACTCCCTAATGCTGTGTATCACATGTCACTAGATGAAAAGAAAAAGTTTCTTCAGGTGTTACATGAGTTGAAGGTTCCTACGGGGTTTTCAGGATCATTTAGTAAGAAGATAAAGATTGTTAAAGGCAAGATCGAAGGGTTGAAGAGTCATGATCACCATATTATTATGGAGCATCTTCTTCCACTCTCTCTCAGAACTTCTCTCCCTAAATCAGTCGGTTTAGTGATCAATGATTTTTGCAGATTCTTTCGGGAATTGTGTGCTAAAAACATCGAGGATGATAAGTTGAAGAAGCTAGAGGCTGAAATTCCCTTAATTTTGTGCAAGCTTGAGCGGATTTTTCCACCATCATTCTTTGATATCATTATACACCTGACTGTTCATCTTGCAACCGAGGCTAGGCTTGCCGGACCAGTACAATATCGATGGATGTACCCCATCGAAAGGTACTTTTAGTTTTATAGTTAACGTAATCGATATATTTTTATTTTATATCTTGGATGTGGTGATTTAGTGTAAGCTTTTGTAGGTACCTTCTCACTCTGAAAAATTATATTCGCAATAGAAATCGACCAGAGGGTTCTATTATGGAAGGTTATCTGCTAGAGGAAGTAACCACTTTTTGTTCCCGTTATCTGGATGAAGACATTGAGACAAAACTCAACAGACCTCTTGTGATTCATGACGGACCATCAAAAAAGCCAGATTATAATAGAATGAATCTCGCATTTATCAACAAGATTCATCGCTTTATCATTCTCAATATCGAATGCCTTGGAGAAGTTAGAGAGTATGTCTATTTCACATAATGCTATATATGTTTACTACACCCAAATATACTTCTCACATTACCTACTATTTTTTGACATTAGAATACACAAGGATGAAATACGTGCAATGCATAGTAATTGGAATGAGGCACGAGTTGAAACACATCATCAAGATAATTTTTGCAATTGGTTTAAACATTATGTAAGATTTCTATTTTCTTATTTTTTGACTTATTCATTCAATTTAATCTAACATCTTTATGTAATTGTCATATTGACCTTTTTGCCAGAGCCGATTACCGACTGTAGAATCGATATTAGATAAGGATCTTGGATATTTGGCTACACTTCCAGATGCTGAAGTTAAATACTATAAAGGATTCGGTGTTGGCGGTTACAAGTTTGAAATCAAGTCTATAGAAGAATCTCGAACCACCCAAAATAGTGGAATTGCAACCGTAGGCACTAATGACGAGATATACTATGGGTACCTTGATAACATACTTGGTATCAACTATCTAGGACGAGCAGGATGCATTTATGTCTTTCAGTGTGTTTGGTATGATATGAAGACTGGAACTGGTAAGTGGAGAGACAATTACGGGACTTGGGTAGATGAATATGGATTGACGAGTGTAAACACCACACATTTTTCCTTTGAGGATGATCCATTTATATTTCCAGAACAAGCATTTCAAGTATACTACTCGAAGTGCTTGAGGCATTCGGGGTGGAGTGTTGTATGTCGATGGAGGCCCAGGGATACTTACGATGTCCCACAGTTCATAGATTCAGAGGTCGTCGAGGTCAACGATGACGAAGAATTTGAGCAGGGAGGGGTTGTATGTCAAGATAAATCTCCTGAATATGATAAAATTTCATGGGTTAGGAATGATTTGAATAGTGAAATACTTGTAGATATTCCTACAACTTCTAGGGAATCTGTAGAACCTAACATTTCTGTAAAGCGAAAAAGGTAACCTTTATCAAAAGCATGTTGTTTAAAATTATATATTCAACTTGATAAATATGTCTATTTCACATATATCTTATATGAAATGTAAAATTCTTTATAGGGCTTGACGAATATGTCTGGAGTTCCATCACGGAGCAAATCGCGTAGACTACTACAGCGCGGAGACCTGCAGCGTCAGGTGAGAGAGCGTAGGAGAGAACTTGAATCTGCTGTAGATACACAGCGCGAAGACCGGCAGCGTCAGGTGAGAGAGCCTAGGAGAGAACTTGAATCTGCTCATGTTGCTACCGCCATACCTAGCATTGGGGAGTCTACTCCAGTTAGAGGTAACTATTTATTTTTCTTTTGATTCTGTTTTAACATGACACCTAATCTTTATCCTTTACATATAAAAATCTAGTCAGTTGCAACAATGTTTTTTTATTTGCAATCTATCTCCTACACAGATATAGACGCAAATCAACAAACACCTACACAAGAAAATGATTTACAGACAACTCCCCCTTCACACTCCATACCTTCTGGACAATCGTCAGGTCAGTATCTTCTTCATTATCTTTTGGTGATTAATGTGCTTTTTGCTAAGAAATGCTTACATAATGCTTCTATCTCTTACATAATTTTGAAAGACTTCTTTACAAGTTCACGTAATATTAGCATCCCAATTTTGTCATGTAATCATCTTACCCACACATGTGCACCGGTTAAAAATTTTGTCATGGGGCGGTTCCCTCGCAAACCATGAAAAAAA